TAGAATGTTTGTCACCCCTGTATTCTGATGAACACCAAGAGCAGATCTCAGGAGAGCAGATCCCATGTTGAGGAAGGAATCTCATCATTCTAGTGGTACTGTTATGTCTTCTGGATGTGGCAGTGGCCTCCTTGTGCTTAGACATGGAATTGCTTTCCAGAAACAATGTTAGCCTTTGAACTGCTCTTCACATTGTTTTTGACAACCCCTCTCATCCTTTATTTTCTCTTCAATTTATTTTTATTTTTTTATTTTTTACAAGGCTCCTGTAGAGAATTAGGGGGATATTTATCAAAGCAAGCCCAGTTAACCCATGGCCTTGGTCTCCTTGACTCCATGTTGAGTATTTCAACACTCAATTATGGCCCCTAGTGTTATTACCTGGATTACCCTAGAAGTCACATCTCATCCACAGAAACACAATGCATGGATTATTATGTTTTCATAATACAAGTGAATTTTAGGGTTACATAATTCATTCTCAAGGAAAGAAGAGGTAACTCTAGAAAAAGGACAGGTATCCTGTTACCTGTGTCTCCCAATCATGTTTTGGAATCCTTTGGGGTTTTAATGAAAAAACGTTAATCTTTGCAGCAGCAGAGTCACTTATCCAAATAGTCTGTTCTAGAAGTCCCACAATAGTGTGTGTTGACTGAGACCATCTTGATCTCACCCAGATTTACACTGTTGTTGTTGTTTGCCGTCGAGTCAGCCCCGACTCATAGCGACCCCTCCTTGGATTTCTGAGGCAGTATCACTACGGAAGTAGGATTGCCCAACCTTCCTTCCGAGGAGTGGCTGGTGGGTTTGAACCGCCAGCCTTCTGGTTAGCAGTCAAGTGCCTTAGCCACTATGCTACCAAGATTTACACTAAGAACTCATTATTTGCCACTTAAAATTACTAGGAAAAACTGTCATTCATTTCCTTCTATATGATCTTTATCTCTGCATTTTCCTGTCCATTTTAATCACATCCTTAGCCAAACAAAGGGAGCTCTGGTAGCATAGTGCCTAAGGCACTTGACTGCTAACCAGAAGGCTGGCGGTTCACACCTGTCAGCCACTCCTCAGAAGGAAGGTTGGGCAGTCTACTTCCGTAGTGATACTGCCTGGGAAACCCAAGGAGGGGTTGCTATGAGTCCAGTCCAACTCGATGGCACTTAACAACAACATAGCCAAACAAAACTATTTTTTTAAAGATACATTTATATAATCAGAGAATTGATTAAATTCCCAAACTCCTTCCTCCAAGATTTCTTTGTCCTCTAGTGGCTTCCTTTCTTCTCCTCCCTGCCACCCTGTCTTGGAAGTCAGGAGTCCTAATTTACTGTCTTGTGTGACTGCACAAATGATTTCCCACCTTCTTCTCTATTCAGAGCAGAGTTCATCAAAGTTGCAGTTTACTAAGTCCATTTTACAAAAGCTGAATGCTGATAATAAATAGTTTTAGTAATCTGAAAGCCTGTGATGAAACCCTAGGAGACTTGCCCAGAAAAGACTTGACAAATGTACCAAGCTCTATTATTACATCCAGATTTCCATATTCTGCTTTATAAATGTTCATTTGGAACAGTATCAAATGACAGTAGATTTGAGGCCATTTAAGTCCAAGAGTTGTATTAGTGCAGTGCTCGAACATACTGTCATGGCCAGATCCCTTTGCATAAGCTTTATATTCTTTGTTCTCATGTGTAAATGGAAGCAGCTTGCCCGAGGAAGGCCAGAGTCTCCTACCTTCGCTCTATGCTTCACCTCTGTGAGCTGTTTTCATATCTGTAAGATGAGAATGATGATATTAATAGCTATCCCCAAAAGTTGTATTTGTCTATAGGGTGGTAATTGTTAAAAAGTGGACAGTACAATACCAGGCTCATAGCAGATGCTGCTTTACCAGGTGTTAGTTCTTTTCCCACCTGAGAATGGAACCCCATGAGAGAACAGGTGTCTTCAGTCTGGTGTCAGAGAAAGTCCAGAGATCAGGCTGTAGCTGATGAATATGTAAGCATTGACTGCAGTATAATATGTACATATGGAGTGTTTGGCTTAAATAAGAGAGTTATCAACACAAATTTATTAATACCTTGTATCCCTGTCCAGTACTTCTAGAACATCTGCCCTCACACGTTTGGGAGTCACAGCAGTTGCCCAGAAAAGATTTGTGTCCTCATTTGACAGATGAGGAAACTGTTAGTAGATGAATTACATGGCATGCTAGTAATTGGCAAAGCCTAGACTAATACTCTAGTCTTCTGACTTCTAGAGCTGTGTTCTGGCCAATACTTTCTACATTGCTCTGAGGGCTGGGTGTTGGGTCTCCCTATCCTGCTTGTACTAGAGTAACTGGCATCACTAGATTTAAGTGCTATCTCATATGATAAACATATCTGCTCTTCATACAGAGGATAAAATTTTGAAAATGTCTTAGATATAACCAAACACTTTGAGGGATTGAGTCACTGGGTATGGAGGCTCAGGACCATAATCTCAGGGAACACTGTTATCAATTGGCGTAACATAGTCCACAAAGACAATTTTCTACATCCTACTTTGGTGACTAGTGACTAGGGTCTTAAAAGCTTGTGAGCGTCCATCTAAGGTGAAACTATTGGTGTCTCCCTGTCCGGAACAAAGAAGAGTGAAGAAAATCTAAGATGCAAGGAAACAGTCCAAAGGGACTAATGGACCATGTGAATCCCAGCCTCTATGAGCCTGAGACCAGAGCTACGTGGTGCCTGCTACCAATACTGACGGCTCTGAAAAGGATCACAGTAAGAAGTGATTAGCAGCCAAATGCCTTAACGTTACACCTCGACCTCTAAAACTAGATTACATTATATTATCCTGACAAAAGATGCAAATAATCTTTAATTTATCCCATCATTATTCCAGTCTTTCTGGGCTAGAATCTGGGACAGTGATGTTGTTCTCATTTGTGAGTGATAGAATCAAAAGCAAAAGGTGGTCTTGTGGTTTGCCCAAACTAGTGTTTGCTGTGGATTAGGGAATCACACTGTCACCCAATATTCCTATTTGGTCAGATCACACACAGTGTCTAGGAGTTTACATACTTCGTGGAAAACAACATTCGCTTGGGGGAAGGGGGGTAGTGACCAGGAATTTATTGTCTTGGTCAAGCTGAGTCAACTTCTGCATAAATTTGTATCTGTGGCTTTGTAAAGTAGGAAAAGACATTTTTTGAGATGCCTTGGACTGGAAAAACATCACTGAAGTGGCTGGTGCTTTTATGAATGTTCTGTAAATGTCAGAGAATCTATCATGTTATTATAACTGATAACTCTGACCTATTAGACTTAATAAATGATTCTCTAAAGCACCAGAATGCAAGGTATTGGGATGTTCATGAAAAGATGGAGCTCACATTTCCCTGCCCTATCTACCCATTGGTGCCCATCCAACCAAGCACTGTTTTTCAAGGCATGCTGTGAAATATGTGCTTATCCTTTAACAGGGAACTCAAGGAGAAGATTCAGCCTGAAATCTTAGAGCTGATCAAACAGCAACGCCTGAACCGCCTTGTGGAAGGGACCTGCTTTAGGAAACTCAACTGTCGGCGGAGGCAAGGTATTGTTTGGGGGCACGTCAAACTTGGAATTGATCAACATGAGCCTGCTCCATGGGGAACCACAAGCCATGGTGCTGGTCTGTGGGTGGGTCATGCAGCATTGAATGTGTATCAGGAATAGGAATGCACATAAATTGTGGATTCCCCATGCATACTCAGGGAGACACCAAGTCCAGAATTACCAAAACACCCACCGAACTGAAGAGTCATTCTTTGTTATTCAGTGCTGTGAGACTGCTGCCAATGATGTCAACAACAGTAATGGGTACTAAGGGCTTACCGTATACCAGGCTTGTCTCTAAACAGTTTATTCATATTAGTTCATTTTATCATCACAATAACTCTATGATATAGATAGCATGGTTATCCCCAGGTCAGAGGTAAGAAAATCGAGACACTGAGGGGTTGAGTAATTTGCCCAAGGTCACAGAAGAGCAAGTATCCACACCAAAGCAATTCTATGACCCTTGCTTTTAATGACTCATTTGCTGTTGGATTTGATCTTGGGGTGTTCATCAAGGATGATCTTTATTCTCAGGTCCCACATAATAATTCTTTTCCAGGTCAGGATTATTTTTCTTGGGTATCTATAAGTTATTGTAAGCCAGCCTAGGATAGATTTGCTCTCCGTAATCTTTCCAGACAAATTTCTAAATTGTTCTATAAATTCTAACCCCAAAGTGTCAAATCAAAATGAGAACCGTTACACCAGTTGCAACAAGCAGAAAGAATTTCCAGCTGTTTCTTGGCTGGGAATGTAGAACCCCTTGATTGTTTTCTTGCTGCCTTGGCGTGCTGCTGATTGCAAAGTCAAAGTACTCTTATCACATTGTCCTAGAAACCAATGACCAAAAAGCAACACTGAAAACTAGAGGTTTAGGAGAGAAAAGATTGGGGAAGGTCCAGGAATGGGTAACAAAAGGAGTAACAAGCATATGCATTAGTCACCATACAAAAATAAACATCAGCTGTGGCCCAAGATAAATGGGAACAGATATTTCTGAAACACAACAGTTGCCCTGTTTAGACATAGCACTCATTCACTAGTACAATTGAAGCTTAGGTCAAGACCAGCCTGCTGATCATTAATTTTAACCATACTGAATATTCAGTAAATCCAAAATGTTTCAGATATTACCACTAAAAATCATCTCAAGGAACTCCTAAAGGCAGAATATCCTTGAGGAATAAAAATGCAGCTTATTCAGAGGCTGGGTAACCAGGACTGTAAGCTTCAAGCTGGACTTGAGGAAAGAACCAAAAACTCATTGCCATCGAATTGATTCCAACTCATAGCAACCCCATTGGGTTTCCAAGGCTCTAAATCTTTAGGGAAGTAGATTGCCTCATCTTCGTCCCATGGAGCAGCTGGTGAATTTGAACCACTGATATTCTGGTTAGCAACCAAATGCCTTATCCACTACACAAGCAGAGCTCCTTGAGGAAGGAACAGTGGTAGAAAATAAAGTTGCAACTGGGACTAAGACAGGCTCACCTAAGGAATAGCAGTGGAAGAGGTAACTTATCAGTCCCACTCAGCAATGGAAGGACATGTTAACTGCCTCATTTCTCAGTACATTCCTTGAATTTGTCGTCTTTGTCTGACTAAATGGTGTTTCAAGAAGATAGTTTGGCACAGTGGCGAGGACAAGAACCAGGAGCCAGGTGGTATGGATAGAATCCTTGTTCTACCCTTCTTTAGCTGTGTGGCCTTGGGAAGTTTCCCCATTTGAAATGAGTATAATAATGCTAGCCTCCTAAAGTGATTCCATAGGAGTTCTGGTAGCACAGTGTCTAAGGCACTTGACTGCTAACCAGAAGGCTGGCGGTTCAAAACCACCAGCCACTCCTGGAAGGAAGGTTGGGCAATCTACTTCTTTAGTGATTGTTGTTGTTGCTGTTATGTGCCGTCGAGTCAAACCCGACTCATTGCGACCCCTCCTTGGGTTTCCGAGGCAGTATCACTACGGAAGTAGGATTGCCCAATCTTCCTTCCGAGGGGTGGTCTTTAATGATACTGCCTCGGAAACCGAAGGAAGAGTTGCTATGAGTCGGGTCTGACTCGATGGCAAATAACAACAAAGTGATTGCAAAGGAAAAAGGTGATCATGAGTGGAGCTCTTAGAAAACAGCAACAAAATGGAGCTATTATTATTGAAGAGTATGTGAGAGGAAACAGTGATCTGGGACCTGGTAGACTTGACTCCAGGCTTCTCAGCTCTGTAATTGACAAACTGGGTGTTTTTAGGCCACAAGTTCCTATCTATAAAATGGGAGGATAGGACTAGATGATATGTAGGATTTCTGCTCTGTTAGCGAGAGAGTCAATTTTGTGCCCTGATCTCTTTGATACATTTGGGAAAAAAAATAATACTCAGAATATATTTTCCCCACAAAGGTGATTTTAAAAGTTCTTATTTACTTGACATTGCAAAGAGCCCAGAAGTATTGGGGGGTAGGGTGGCAAATAGGCACCTATTGTCAATCCTACCCTCTGTAGCAAACTGTTGAGCCGAGGTCCAAAGTTGCCAAGAAAGACACAACTCACACAGGCACTGGTTGGAACTATGCTTTACTCATATAGAGAAGAGACAGAGCAAAGTCAGTTTCAATAGTGGGGGTCAGTCCCCATGGCCAGCAGATCTCATTCCATAGCCAACACAGGATTCATGGTATGCACACACCCCTGTTCCCTCCCTGCTGGGAACAGATAGAGCAATGGGGTTGATCAGGTGCCATTTGACACTCACGCTTAAGCAGAAAAATGAAAATGTACTCAGAACAGGGAAGGAGGTGCCCTGATAAGAAAGAAGAAAAAATTGGGATGGGGGAGGCTCAGTTCCCAGCCTATATTACCAGGGAATGTTCTGGGCCCAAGGCTTCTGATTAGGTGATCCAGTGTGGGAGTCAGAAGCAGTCAATATAATGCTTTCTCTCTTTCCCAACACCTCCTAACCAAAAGTCTGCACTGATGCCCAGCTAGAGTCCTTCAGAAATAACTTTGTAGTACTATTTTTGACCTTCCAGTCTACTCCAATGGAAAACCGAACACTTTCTAGCCTGAAATGGGTAGAGTCTATGAGAATAATCCTATTTCTAGAAGTAATCATTTAGATTTTTTGTTGAAGAAGTGTTTGTCCCTTATCTTTCCAATTTTCTAGAAATGAATTACCTAATGAACAAAAAAAATATTGGCATCCAGATTATAAATGTATTAGTTCAGCTCCCTTGGGAGCATGACTATCTGTGTTTAATATAAAATCATTCTCTGAGTACAGAAAGGAAAGCTTTTTGGTGTTTGGTAAATTGATTTTAAATCTGGTGACTGGCTCTGCACGCTTAAAAATAGGGACTCAAAACAGACTGTACTGAAATTAGTTTCCTATCACCCCATCAAAACATTTTGTTAGATTTACACAAATTAATGAGAACATGATGTGAAGTCATTTTTACTCCCTTTGAGAAAGTTGCAGTTCCACATGAGATCTTAGCCTGAAACATACAACTATCTTCAATGTGCCACCAGCAGGTTAAAGAGCAAATAAGTTTTCCCCTCACCTTGTCTGGCTTTGGTTAGGTAGGAAACAGGCAAACATGCCCCACTCAAAGATGGTGCTATTTGCTCTGAGTATGTTGGCCACCATAATTGAGTGGGGCACCACTGCTTGTTTCCTAAAAAATACACCAAACTCAATGCCGTTGAGTCAGATCCGACTCACAGCGACCCCTCCTTGGGTTTCTAAGGCAGTATCTACAGAAGTCAATTGCCCACTCTTTCTTCTGAGGAGTGGCTGGTGGGTTTGAACTGCCAGTCTTCTGGTTAGCAATCACATGCCTTAGGCACTATGCCACCAGAACTCCACCAGAGCTTGTTTCCTACTCAGGTCAACATCCCACACACAAGAGATTTGGTTGCTATGCAGTGCCTACACTCTCCTTGTTTCCATCAGCCATGACTGAACCATTTCAATCCAGTTTGAAGCCCTGCTTCTCTCACAATGAGCTGACACAGACAAGTGAATTTAAGTAATTAACTTTATGGGGGAAACATGAAAGAGCTTCCAGTCCCAGAGAACTAGAAAGTAGAGGGGCAAATATAGAGCCTTTTCTGTGTCACATGTGACCACAAAATTAGTACTTGGCCAGCATTCTACCTGTCTCATTTACAACTCTAATACTTAGATGGACCGATGCAGACCTTGCAAATCTGGGTTTCTGGGAATTCTGACCACATTAGAACTGTGAGTCAGTAAATCATGTAAGACTTGATGAGCTGGGTTGAAGTTCCCTCTCTTCTGTACTCGCTGGATCGCCTTGGGCAGCCTACATAATCTCTCCATGCTCCTGTTTCATCAGCTGCAAAATGAGGACAAGACAGTGGTAGTTCAGTGGTAGAGTCCTTGCTTTCCATGTGGGAGACCAAGTTTGACTCAGTAAATACACCTCATGTGTAGCCACTATCCATCTGTCAGTGGAGGCTTGCGTTGTTACCATGATGCTTCATAGGTTGCAGCAGAGCTTCCAGACTAAGACAGACTAGGAAGAAAGGGCTGGTGATACACGTCTGAAAATTAGCCAAAGAAAACCCTATGGATCACATCCATCTGGTCATGGAGATGGTGCAGTACTGCGCAGTATTTCATTCCACTCTACATGGGGTCACCATGAGTCAGAGCCTGACTCCACTGCAGCTGACAGCATCAAACACAAAATGGAGATAATGTTAGTACTTACATCAAATAGTTGTAAGAGTTAAATAAAATTATGCATGTATAGCAGAACAGTGCGCAGCACATTATAAAACATTCATTAATATTTATTAATTTAGTTGGTAGTCCCTCAGGATATTAATTTTAGACAAGGGAGGGCGAGTATAGCATTAAGTGTTATATATCTTCTTCATTCCATTCTGCCCCTCACCACAGAGTATTAAGACACTCATTGTAGAATCCTCCACAGTGGAAATTGTCTTGCTCTTGCACTCCTTGAGCTTCTGCAG